ATATTTTTGTTTTCCACCCAGCTGAACATGGAATGCAACACATTTATTGAAACACATCAAATAGAGTGAATTATGATCCTATTAATTTGTTTCATTACTGCAAATTCATTGTAAACGTTTTTGTTAAATGTATGACTTCGTTAAAGCTTAATGCATTATCGCAACGTTCATATAGTTTGTTTTATATTAAAACACACAGGTCGTCCAAGTTCATCAGTTTAGACATCAATCAGCCGCAAGTCTTCTTAGTACTAACGCTGCATTTGTTTGTACCTGTCCTAAGTCAGGAACCTGATGTTCAGTGGTTGTCGTTTGTTGATGTGGTTCATGAGTGTTTCTCGTTTCTCGTTTTTATAAAGATTAGACCATTGGTTTTCCTGTTTGATTGGTTGTACACTAGTCATTTTTGGGGCCCTTTATAGCTTGCTGTTCGGTGTGAGCCAAGGATCCGTGTTGAAGGCCGTACTTTGACCTATAATGGTTTACTTTTACAAATTGTGACTTGGATGGAGAGTTGTCTCATTGGCACTCATACCACATCTTCTTATATCTATTTACATTAAAAAAAAATGTAATTATTTTCCAGGATTTTTGTGATTCAATTGATTAATTTATTTTACTATTTTTTCTTCGTTTAAAAACACTATATTTTACTGAAACTAATGAAATGCTTTACATATTTATACACTATTTGTCGATGTTGAATTTTTTTACATTCAGTTTTGAGGAGGAGCCCTTTGAAGCTAATCTGACGACATGGATCTTTGTCAATTGTTGATGGTTGACGATCCTACCCGTACGTGTGTAAGTATATGACGTTTCTCGTCATTTTATTCTTTAGTGAACAATTTTATTATTGGCAATCTTGTCATTCATCTTTGAAAGGAGACCAACAGGCTTACATTTTAAATGACGATAGATGTACGTCTGTAGCCTTAGCGTCAACACTCTATACTTACTTCAAGAAGGGCATGAAACTACTTGTATGTAAAGGGGAACTCTATATTATACTGTTGTGCTACGGGATTCTAGCATTCACAGAATAGAAATAATCAGTTTACATTTGACATTATAATGTTATAAAATAGGTGGAAGATACAAACGATACATCAAGAACTTACGAGTCGAAAAGGAACAGATAACGCAGTCGCAAAACGACGAAATTTTCCACACATTTTTCACAATAAACTATATAGAAAACTAAAGACTAAGCAACATGAACCTCTGAAAGAAGCTAAATAAAAATATAATTGGAAATGCATTTTAAAAACTATTTCAAATAAAAGGAGAATTTCTTAATTATTTGAGTTTCTTAGATAACACTAACGTAACATTGCTTTTCATGTATTTTTAACAGCCCCATCTGGAGTCAATCAAAATCATGTCTACAATATATTTATTATTAATTGGAAACATTGTCGTGAGTCAGTAAATCATTTAAAATTCATTGGTAATTGTCTCCGACTTTAGTTTAAGTGCAGACTATCACCTTAATTGTAAAGCAGGTTTAACACTATTGGAAATATATTTCAAAAATTGTTGATCCGGATCATGTGATGTCATGTTTGTCTTTGTGTGTACATCTACTTCGAAGAAGTCGGGAACTCACGTCTACATTTTTAGTTTGGTGGGGGGGGGGGGGGGGGGGGTGGGGGTGGGGGGGGGGGGGGGGGTAATCTGTTATCATTTTTTATGCGTCATTTATGATTTTTTATCAAAAACTAAATGGTGTTAATTCTGCTATAGGTAAAACAATTCTCAGTGGTACGTTTTAGCATTCATTTTTGAATTTCAATAATAAAACTCATTATGTATATTTTGTAATTCATTAGTGTAACAGTTAACTTGAAGCAAAAACTTCCCGAGTCACAACACTATAGTTATGTCGAGATCAAACATAAGCTAGTCAAAATCAAACTTATCAATAGTTTGACAAGAGACACAAAAATTATTTAAATTCCTTTATATTCCAATTTATTTTAGATGCGCCTAAGTTAAAGATCTGATATGTGAATGACCTTACCCAGAAAACATACTGAAGGCAAATTAATGCTTATTATTGTATATTTACAAAAAATATATATGTAATGTTTATATATATACAATATTAGGTCAATGTCCGAAAAATATAAACTTTTTTGTATGAGGCTGAAAAACTGGGGAAGGGCGAGGTTTTACCGAGCCCTTCTCCAGTTTTGTACCGAATACAAAAAACTTTATATTTTTTCTGACATTGACCTAATACTGTTTTTATACTACAACTTAAATTAATACATTAATAGCTGTTTAGTTAGCAACACAAATTTCAAACTTATTTTCATCCCTAAATGAACCCCTGATTGTGGAAAAAGTGATCAATGATAAAATTGACATAGCACAAAATATGGCTTTGTTACTATATTTAGGAAATAAACACATCTAGTTGCAGTATAAAAAAAGATGTATAGAGTCCAGTCCTATAGGGAGGAAGTAAAGAATCAGATCTACCATTCATTGTAAGGTTGGTCTATATGTTTATTGTTATATTTTAGAGCAAGTTAAAGGAACAGTTTATCAAGCAGGTCAAACCGCGACCGACACAGAACGTTAAAAACTAATTACATCTCTATAACGATTGTGGCATTACATGTTGTTTATAATGTTTAAATGGATCGGGAAATACCAATGACAGTTTTCCCGTCTTTTTGCGTCGCGTTTGCTGGCATGTTTCTCGGAGCACTCAATTATTTAGAATATGTCTGTTTGAAATGCAAATAAGATATCGTTGCGTCTACAAGACATCATTTGTCAATTCGATCTGTGGCAATATGATGGGAAGTTTGCATGATGGAAACACTTACCAAGTTCTCACGACTGACTCAATATTCTTCCAAAAATAATGCAACGATTACATGAATATATATTGTCACTAAACGTCTTAAAAGATAAAAGATGTACTTATTCCAAGTCTGTGCAATAAAACATACAATGCGTATGCTAATCATTGAGTAAATGACATGTAAACGTATACACACTGCACAATGGCAGAGGTTATGACATACTACTTTATTTAAAGAATGCATTTAAAAATTTGTCAAATATGTCAATAAACTGAAAAGGATAAAGGGATGTTGTTATTCATTTCCGAAATAAAGGCAAAGGTTGTTGGAATTCAATTTAAAAATTTATTGAAAAGTTAATATATTTATTATATTTGGGCAAATATCATCGTGCGAAGTTTCCAACAATATTCAGTGATCGAATTCCAACGTGTTTCGACCCAAAGTAACATTACAGTAGAAGATTACTTTGACCACCTATATTTAATATATAATAAAAACGGTTTCTGCTACAAACGAGGATATTTAAAACTTAAGTTTCCATTCGCTTATTCAAATGATTTGTCATTATAAATTAATTAAATACGTTTATTGTCTTTTCTAAAAATTTAATGTATTATTATGTATTGTATTTCTTTGTGTATGTTTTGAGAAAAAAATGTACTGCTTATGTAATTACAGGTTCTGCGCTGATTCAAAAGATATATATTTCTGTATGATTGCACATTTTTATAAAAATATAAGATTCTTTCACATATTTGTAATTTGAAGTCTGTCTTTAGACTTTATCGTCTGCTTTGTACCATCTCATGCAGGTACTACATGTGAAACCTGATAAAACAAGCAATCAGCTGTTTCGAAAAAAAGTATGATCTTATAACCAACGAACGTGACAACGATATAAGGTCACGAGACGCAGTAGTTGAACCCTACTGTACTTCTACAGTACAGTACAAATATGGACAACTATTAATACGATAAGCTTACGGTACGAATCTATTTCTTTAAGTCAAGCATGCTTTTAGTAATGTATAGTTGAGAGAAAGATTTATACTAACATGACACTGCTTACAATGGAAATGTAGACTGATGCATGCTTGATAAGACCAACACCACACACCAATGAACATCATTCTTTATTGCATTTTTTATTTAAAATGTGATATTTTATACATTTGTAAATACTAGACAAATTCTTAAAGTACATTTAAGTACAAGGCATCAGCAGGGCGCTAATTTGATCATTTCAGATGAATTAATTGTAGGAAAAACCCAAAACATTTTATTTGTTCATTTAATAATTCTTTGCAAGAAAAGCTAGTACCTTAAAGGATTTAGCTTTTGTACATTATATTTATTATGATTACGTTCCTAACTCTTTAATATCGGACTCTCTCAAATGTTGATAATTTTCCATTGCATACAGCATCGTTTAAAATTATTTCAAATTTTTTCAGTAATTTAGAAAAAAATGGTTTTTTTTCCCGTTTAAGTAGATTATTGATTTTTCAGAAACCTTGAAATGTGGAATAAAAAAACCCGTTTGCTTTCATGAGATTGAATGATGAATGGCTGTTAAATGTCCTGTGATAACTATTACATATTTGTTCAGGATAATGCCATGTAAATAGGATATGAATATGAGCCTTGCTTTGTACTAGACTGACACGTTGAGTCAGGTTTGTTATCATGCAAGTCCCCAATGTAATAGTCCATATTGAGATATATCTCCCTTTTAGGACACATTATACTGACTTCGAGCCACACATTGTTTGCTCTTCTTCTCGACGCTTAATTGGCACAGAAACGTGATATACCAATTCGGAACTCGAGGCGAGCATGAGACCAGCAACATGATTTTTACTATGAGTACAATAAAAAAAATATGGACGCGTCTGTGAGGAGCTACTGATTAAAATCACCATGATCAAATTTTTAATTGTTATTTTTACTTTTATTTAACACACGTTTCAGTTTGAACTTGATTCGTGATGGTTATGTATTGGTCTGAAACAAAAAATGTAGGTGAAAAACAATCAATACAAGCCATGTCCCAATAGACATCACATATATATACTCTGTATTCGGTGTACATGCTTTTATTTAGCATGACATAAAAGTAGTTGCAATATAAAGAATGAATTATTTATTCTATAACTTAATTTCATTGAGCGTGCTTACCTTCTTTCTCTATTGCTCTGTACTAACATTTCGATGAAAAGTATTCCAATAACATAATAAATCCCATGGTATAATCTAAAAATAAGAAAAAAAGAGAAAAGATTTGAAATAATGTCCACCAGCAATTCACGAATATATTTCATTTTTAATTCGGAAAATTGAACATGTACTTATTTCATTCTCGGATTCTGACATTACTAACACGACGGGTATTATTAGTGAAGCAACAACATTTATCCTGCGGAGCACCAAAGTTAATGTTTTATTTTTCTTGCTGGGGTTTGTTTATTCATGTAATGTCCTGTCATTTCGTGCACCTCTAACGGTAAAAAAAATGTACCTTAACCAGATAACAGTCAACTCTCTAAGGCACTAGGATAATTTGGTGTGTTTAGTTTTGATGGATCCATACTTTTGATGCATTCAAACTTTTTTTCCACTTAGCGACCGAAACCTTTGGTCTTTTCAGTTAAAAGATAAAGTGATGATGCCCATTCACTTATAGATTCTTATTGGTGTTAGTAAACACCAGTCTGCATAACCTTGAGGCTAATGCAAGTCATTCGGAAATCTTCATATATGTCAATTCTTATATCAAAAATGAATTTAATTTTGAACGCCGAAATAAAAAAAAAAACAACATAAAAATGTATATAATATTTGTATCGTGACTTGGGTCGCGGATTCACTATAAGAATAAAGAGATTAAGTTTGCATTTAACTGCTTCTCCAATATATTCTTCTTTTATCTTATTAAACTGGATTTGGGCATATCACCCATTGAGATATATTGCCTTGGCAAATATAACTTTACATATAAAAAGGAATTGTCTATGGAAAGGATTTGTAACGTCTTCTTCATCTCAACAACGCTGACCACGCCTAGTATGCGATGTACTCGTAACACGAAAAATTCCTAACATAGTTATGTCTGCAGCCGTTTATATAAAAGTTATACTTCAATAACACAAAGATTAACTTACATATTTGCTTTTCCTTTTTGAATTCCAAATATTTATTTAGCTGTACAAGATTTTTCCGGCAAAATATACTATGAATCCAGGTAGAAAGAGAGAGAAAAAAATATACTATTAATCCAGGTAGAAAGAGACTATAATCAGTTAGTAGTGGTATTGATTCATATCTTGCAAAATTAATGAGAAGACTATATAAATAATTTCATTATCTTTTTTGTATAATCGGTATTATCAGGTGACAATAGTTTACCATTCAATACAGGTAACTCGAAACAAATAACTCTTTGAAGCTAGATTTGCTCCGAATAAGTTGGCCTGACATATTAATGTAAGGTTTTAATTCGAACATTAATGATTTAATATTATTGATAGCATCGCGATGAATGACGTATCCGAAGTTTGTATTGAAAGATACTTGACAACTAGTCCTTTATTTGTACGCATTCATGTCACAGAATACTACTGAATCGCAAAATCTGCAAAGCTGTAGACCACACTTGGCTATCTGAATTATCAGTAACTGAGTAGATAATGATGTTTAAATCGCACAAATATATAAATATAAGATATATGTACATTGTCGATAAATATATAATTTATTTGTAAGAGCTGTAGAAACAGGACAAAAAACGAGGCTCGCCGACCTTTCTCCTGTTTCGTAGGGAGTACAAATAAGTTTTATATTTTAGACAATGTACATATTTTAATATTTATTCTGTAATTTTGCACCCGACACTTTACTGTTTAGTTGTATAAATCCAAATAGTTGTCTCTGATTTTTCAAAGAAATCGACATAGATTAAACGCGGACAGCGAGGAGGACCCGAAAATGAACTGTCACACAAAAAGAAATATTCACATTACCGTTTGCTCAATAAGGAAGCGGAGTAACAGGTGATTTCAATTTTACAAGTACAAATAAAACAAAAAAATATCTGTTATTTGTACAATAGTTGGTCGATTGCAGGAAAAATGCGATTACATACTTTAATGTAATTGATTTTCTCAATGACATGGTCAATGAACAAAATCTAAACTTAAAGAAAACACACACATATACAACACGAAGAAAACAAACAGAATGCATCTCTTTTCACATTACACTGTGTACCCCCATTAATCTTAAGTTTTCGCTACAAAACATTAAATGGCTTAATTGAAAAGTAACAATGACAGCAAAATACTTGATTTTAACACTTTTTGACATATGATCAAAAAGAAAGAAAACAATGCTGACCTATTCATTTCTGCGAACATGCATTTAACATACTCATTGTTGCCGTCCATGCAGCCTCTATGGTGCACATTTGATCAATCTTAATAACTGTATGCTGATTAAAAAAAGTTTTACACACACATTGCATTGTATTTTCCGATCAATATTCCATCTACAATGGCTGTCTGTAACTATAGAATCGAGAATATGTGATATGATCTAAGCCAACAGTTAATGAAGCATTATTACCTCCATATTAAAACTGAATATCTTTGTCGGTTTACAGGATTGTAAGTGTAAAGATATTGATAATGACATCTCGGAACGAGACAAAGCAATAATTACCTATTAGCAAAATTGTTTTCTTATACTAATAAATAATATAAATTGTTATCTGCCAAAGGATCCGGGTCATTAGTTGTTATAATTCAACGCAATCAGCTTCAAAAGCTGCGAACTGACATTGAAACATAAATGATATATAACATCAAACACAAAAGTCTATTGATTTGCTACTTCTGGGATGAAACACACAAAATTTATTAGATTGTACATGTAGTTTGATAGCCAGAAGTCCATCTATTTGACTAAAATACGTTTAGACCTTTGGAACGTCGTACTAATATAGTTATACTTTTTGAATATAATTATGCATTCAACAACATAAACTACATTTTACTTCTAGAAAATGATTGGAATAAAACTAGGGCTTCACGTTCCTGGGATAAATTAATTAATTAGCTTTGATTGTATTATTGTCTATAACGAACGTTTTAAAGTGCTTTTATGATATGCTTGAACTATAAAATTTTGTAAATATTTCAATTCAAAAGAACTCGACTTTCTTGTTTTTTAAATTCATAAACAAATTGTCAGTTAAACAATGCTATACATAAATAAGACATTATTACTCTTAGTTTTTACATCCACATAATAATTAGCTAGTGTGCAGTTATTTGAGATCGTGCTGCATTCGTGTAACCGTTTGGTCTTTCAAAAAACTATATTAACTGTTCTTTCGTAACTTTTTTTTTAAAAGAGACATCATAAGCGAACTTTGCATGGAAATAAGTTGTCAACAGATCATTGATGGTCAGACAGGCTTTATAATTTGGCACATTCAGGTACACAATCACTTTGAACGCAGCCTTATTTTGTATTTTATTTCCCACTTTAAAAATTTATACAGAAACCTTGGTTAAAATAAGCTAAAAATATTCACAATCTTACATAATACAATGTGTACAGTAAAAGGAAGAAACAAGTCATTTATCAATTATAAAAATTTGATAACTTACCAGTTAATGTTATTCAAAACTTAACGTAATAAAATGGTAAGGGTAGTATCATTTATATCATAGAAGCTCTTGCGCCTACTAATACTGTTTTAGCCAGTAAAACTGAATTGCTGCAATTTTTAAATTACCTTGGACCGAAATACTGTCGCCACATAAGAGTGTATGACGGCATGATTTCACGTGGAGGTTAGGTACTTTGAGCTAACTTCAATTAGCTGCTAGCAATCTCTGAATGTATTAACTATTTTTTGCTTTTTTTATATTTTGTGCCTATATTTTGTTAATGATATTATAGATTAAAACAGGAGAGTTGGGGTCTCAAAAAACGAATCTAACCACGCCAAAACTTGTTTACGTGTCCTCCACAAGCCAGCGATTTCGTTCGAAGATTGTCTGTAGTTATATCTTTTGAGAAATTTGATGGATGGTGACGGTATTTTTGTGATATTTTCGGTTAGATTTATTTTCATCTTTTATTGACTCAGGACTATTAAATTGTATAAACATTAGTGAATTTTTGAAGACCGATAGTTGACCGCTAGATTTGCCGTTGTGGGTCATTATGTTGCTGTTTCATTAACGTATCTCCCTCAATTTGTATCTATATCATATAGTTCGTGAAATCTCTGAAGAATAAATAGATTCCAAACAGCCAAATAATCCTTTTCTGTGGTGAAAATACTTTATCTGTCAATATCGATTGCCACTGCTACCGAAGGTTCTGAAAAGATGAACTCCTCTTGGGATATAGATGAAGAAAAGGTCATCCACCCTCGGATTTGGAAAATAAGGAAAAAATCAATACATATTGATTGAATTGTTTATTCACAATGTTTTGTTAACTCTAGTTCAGTTCTAACAAACATTCAAGTATTCTGCAAAAAGCATGTTGTGACATAGTTTTTAAGATAAAATAAAATTAATTGTATTTAGTTGCACCGTAAAAGGAACAGCAAAACATAACTATATTTTCTCAAAAAAGATAAAATAAAGTCATTTTCACGAACTTAAATATTATGGAAATGGTATAACAAAATATTATAAAACTGCTTAAAAAATCGTATTTCGATATCAAAGTATTGTATGTAACGTATGGTGGTATATATCAAAGTATTGTATGTAACGTATGGTGGTATATATCAAAGTATTGTATGTAACGTATGGTGGTATAATATACAATTATAGCCTTTGTATGAGGTCGATACGAGGTTATATCGACCTAAGAGAAGCATATTGACTGAGGACGAAGTCCGAGGTCGATATGCTTCTCTGGGTCGATATAACATCGTATTGACCTCAACCAAAGACTACAATTGTTATATTATTAATCAACAACTATTGCATGAACAATGTAAAATTGGGGATTTCTAGAATCTATTTTTAGGAACATGCTGTATACCCTGTGCAATATGCTGTTTTTGACCTACGAAAAGCTAAACACACAGTATTGGCGTGCAAACTGAGCAAATACAAATGTAAATGTGATCAAGTTTTAACGAATCACACATCCTTAAAAATATTCGATTAATAATATATCAAAGTATCGTATGTAACGTATGGTGGTATATATCAGAGTATTGTATG